AATCCCCCACACACTACAGCCCTTATCCCTGCAAACACCACACAACCTAGTCCTGCATACATGACACCCTCCTATTCCTCATACACTCAACAGCTCGTCTCCCCACATACTAGTACAGCCCATACCCCCACAAACACTACAGCTCCTAGCTCTTCAGATATTTAACCTATTAACTTCATACACTACACCCAATTCCGCCAAATACACTACAGACTCCAATTCTAAAGCCCTTATCCCCCACATACCACAGCCCATATGCCCCCACACATACATTACAGCTCGCTCCTTACCCCATACATACACTACAGCTCCTAACTCCCATACATACACTTCAGTCACAATCCCCAACACTCTACAACCCCTATCCCCCATATGCACTACACCTCCTAATCACATACTACACTGCATACAGCCCCTTTCCCAGACACTCAACACTATAAGAAGACTATCGTCTCACGCAACCCTTCAAGCAGCACCCCCTGAATGTGACCCCCCCACACACGTAACCCCAAAAGCGTATTCACCAAACATACATAATCTCACAAGCAGAGTCCATGTGCACACACACACACACACACACAACACCACAGGTAGTCTACACCACACATGTTACCCCACAAGCAGTCTCACCCCACACAAGCAGGCTCTTCATGCAGAGAAACACACACACACTGTGGTGGGTACACAACATGCCCCCTCCTAGGGCATGCTAAGAATTTAAATGTCCAGGCACATTTTTGTCCCTGTGAGGTCCTGGTACATGTTGTAAAGCATTGAAAAGCAACAAACAAACAACTGTATTCTACTAGTATACAAACCAGAAGATACATTGTCATTAATTAGCCACATTGTCAAATTAAATGAGAAACCAGGTTTACAAGACTGTTACTCCACATTAATTTGTTATACCAAGTTGATTAAACTTGAAATATTCAGGCAGTTTCAGGAGGATCGGGAGAGAAAGGGGGGAATCTCATCTCAGGACACAGCAGGACAATGTAAATAATTACTCTTAGAAACTGACAGCAAAAAAATGTTTTCAAAGGTAAATTCTGTACATGCTTCAAGGATACAGGTCATTTTTATTTGAGAAATCAAAAGGTCCCATAGTGATGATAAATCAGACAGTGGTCTGGCATGCTGGTATTTGATAAAGACATTGAAAGTTTTACAATCAGCAATATCAGATTTGTTGGTAAATTAAAACATCCTAAGAAGTCCAGTTTAATTTCACCCACCACTTTCTCCTAATCTCTGTGTTCTGTAGATTAAAACCAAGTACAGCTAAAACCACAAGGGCAGCAGGTCACTAAAACCAGAGATCATTATAGTAAGAAGGGGGTGGGGGAGATTGTATACACAAATGGGATCTATTTTACACTATCTGCCATAAAGCAGCCCAATTGGATAAGTTTCTCAAATACCACAGCATTCTTGAGAGGGATTACAAAGATTGCACTATTGCATAAATGTCCAATTCTAGGATTTTATCTTTCATTCATCAAAGAAATATGATTTATGTTTATACTCTCATACAATATAATTAAAAGGTTAATGTCTATTCTTGGAGAGAAACATAAGTAGCAAGAGAAGTGAGAACGGACAACAACTCAATTAGCCTGCCCTTTGTGGGTCCCCGCTCATCTTGTGCCATTACAGAGAGAACATATCTGAAGCATATCAGACTGGTCCCACCCGTACGGGTGGTCCAGATCCAAAATGCCAGCAAGTTCTCACTGCATGAGAGATACAGCAACCCCAGACAATCGTTTCAACCTTGTAAGGTATCATTAGTCAGGTATAGCCAATATCCCTATAGGCACCATGAGCAAGGGGTCCACGTCTGGATTGCCCTTTAAACTCAAGGAGAGAAAAACAAGTAGCAAGAGAGGTGAGAGTGGACAACAGCTCAATTAGCCTGCCCTTCGGTAGCCAGTGCCAGAACTGCCACCACAACCACTTACACATCTATAGTGCTCCCAGTCCCCGGACTGCCACCACACCAACTTACACATCTATAGGGCTCCCAGTGCCAGGACTGCCACCACAACCACTTACACATCTGTAGGGCTCCCAGTGCCCGGACTGCCACCACAACCACTTACACATCTATAGGGCTCCCAGTGCCAAGACTGCCAACACAAACACTTACACATCTGTAGGACTCCCAGTGCCAGGATTGCCACTACAACCACTTACACATCTATAGTGCTCCCAGTCCCCGGACTGCCACCACACCCACTTACACATCTATAGGGCTCCCAGTGCCAGGACTGCCACCACAACCACTTACACATCTGTAGGGCTCCCAGTGCCCGGACTGCCAACACAAACACTTACACATCTATAGGGCTCCCAGTGCCAAGACTGCCAACACAAACACTTACACATCTGTAGGGCTCCCAGTGCCAGGATTGCCACCACAACCACTTACACATCTATAGGGCTCCCAGTGCCAGGACTGCCACCACAACCACTTACACATCTGTAGGGCTCCCAGTGCCCGGACTGCCACCACAACCACTTACACATCTATAGGGCTCCCAGTGCCAAGACTGCCAACACAAACACTTACACATCTGTAGGACTCCCAGTGCCAGGATTGCCACTACAACCACTTACACATCTATAGTGCTCCCAGTCCCCGGACTGCCACCACACCAACTTACACATCTATAGGGCTCCCAGTGCCAGGACTGCCACCACAACCACTTACACATCTGTAGGGCTCCCAGTGCCCGGACTGCCACCACAACCACTTACACATCTATAGGGCTCCCAGTGCCAGGACTGCCACCACAACCACTTACACATCTATAGGGCTCCCAGTGCCAAGACTGCCAACACAACCACTTACACATCTATAGGGCTCCCAGTGCCAGGATTGCCACCACAACCACCTACACATCTGTAGGGCTCCCGTCTCCCAGTGCCAGGACTGCCACCACAAATACTTACACATCTGTAGTGCACCAGACTGCCAGAAAGACTTCTTGTTCCATAGGTCCACCATTACAATGTAAATTGCAATGGTTCAAAAGAATATGGGCACACCTGATTTCAAATATGTGTTAATGATTTCACAAGGCAGCAGGTGGTATTTTGGAGCAAAGTGTTTCTATTGGTTTCCTTGGTGATTGCAACTTCTTTAGCACATTGCCCCAGAGTTGATTCCGATTTAAGGGTTGAAAATAATCAATGTAGAAGAGTGATCTTAGAAGAGAGTATGCTAAAAGAAATGTAGAAAATAAAGTTACCAGTATGTGCTTCACATTTTAACTTAGACAGTGTTTTTAAACTGTTGGTTTGGACCCGAGAGTGGGTCCACATACCATTTTAATATATCCCTATTGGTAAGAAAATAAATATATCATTTTGTCAGTTCCAATATCATACTTCATTTGCTTCGTGGAGATCTTACTATCTTTGAGCCCTTTTGCATATGTGCTGACCACCTGTCTTGTGATTTTGTTTTTTACCAGCAGCTACTACTGAACGATAAATTACCTTTGCTATGGTTTTATGGGGGAGTGGGAAAGAGCTCTGAGCACCTCCTTTTTGGAGGATCTTTGGCAGAAGATCATAATAATGGCATGCCCTACATAATTACACAATATTTTCCCAGACCATTCAGATCTTTGTTGGGGATGTTTCTCCGCTCCTAGCTCTATGTTTCAGATTTGGTGGTCATGCTCTATAATCTTTTTAATTTGTAAGTTGGTTTGCTTGCACGTAGAGACCATAACCAGAGAAAAGGTGACTTTTATTACCAAGATTATGCTCTTTCAGCACACCATCCTTCCCTTGGGTCTATATAAGAAATCTCGACATCCCGTGCTCAACAATGGTTGAAGGGGGTTTAGGAAATTGACACTATGGAGGCTATTACTTAATTTGACATCGGATAGAAATGTGGCCACTTGGTCTCCTTGAATCTTGAACATTTCCACCTATTCCCCCAGGAGTGAACTCCCTCCATCCCGCTTTTTTACCCTCTTGTCTTTCTTCCTTGATTTCACTCTACATGTCATGTTTTCCCTCAAGCTTCCCATTTTCTTTC